AACTGAGGGTTTGTGAGGTTTCCGTTCATGATTGAATGATCTTGGCAGTAGAAAGCCAGAGAGCCTGGTATGGTAGATGGACATGGCAAAACAAAACAAACAACAACGAGGAAAACCCTGCTTACCTCAAAAGAAAAGATGGGGGAGGATGGGTATTTAGATACCTCCTTCCAGGGCCGGAAGACCCACCTCTAGGCTACACTTAAAGTGTCCACCGACTTCTAAGGGCACCAGTCTGCGAAACAAGTCATTCACGTGTCCATGTAGAAAGATCTCGAGCAGCCCAGCTGTCTTCAGCTTGTACAGCAGATGAACCTTGAACCTCTGGCCCCTCTGCCTTCACAGTGCTGCACCATCACACCTAGTCCTGGATAGTCCCAGGGATCTGAAAACCTCCGGGGCTGCACGCATTTGTTGCAAACACTCTACCAACTGAGCTATGGTATGGCCTCCGTGGGCCTCTGTCTGCATACACCTGTCATACAAGTGAATCTTTAAAAAAGAGTGTGTGGGATGATGGTGGCACACACCTTTAATCCCAGCACTCAGGAGGTGGAGGCAGGCAGATCCCCGAGTTCAATGCCAGCCTGGTCTACAGGGTTAGTTCCAGGACAGCCGGGGCTACACAAAGAAACGCTCAAAACAACAACAAAAATAAATTGTGCATAAAAAAACGAATACTAGTTTCACTGTTGTGAAACTAGTATTCACTTACAAAAGTTATCGACACAGTACGGCATGTGCTTAGTTACACTGGGAAAGTCATGCGTTCTGGGAAACTTGGAGGGGTCTTAGCACCTATCCTCCTTGGGAAGGGTGGGATTACTCCAAGACTGGGAGGCTGTGGTGCAGCGGCCATCACAGCTGAGAAGTTTAAGATGACCATGAGTAGCACTCTGGGACTCTGAAACGAAACCAAACTCCACAAAGCTCCCTTCTCTAGTTCATCCCTATGAGAACCCTTAACTTGGGGACTGGAGAGATGGCTCAGCAGTGAAGAACATGTGCCAGTCTTGTAGAGGACCCAAGGATTCAGCTTTTAGCAAGCATGCCAGGCAGCTCACTAGAGCCAACCTGACTTGCCTCCAGGGGCCTTGCATTCACATGCACATACCCACACATACCCAGAATTTAAAAAATAAATTTGAAAAATCTTAATTTTTTTCCTTCATTAAGGATTAAATAATCCTTAATCTTCCTAAAACACAATTCTGATTATTTTACCCCACAACTAATACTGGAATTTTCTGCCTGGGAACTCCATAATTTGGGGTCTAAGGTTTAACTACTAAACTGTCCCCCCCAGCCCCAGCTGCACACAAAACTCATTCTATTCCTTATTCTATTCCTACACTCTGGTCTCGAGGACATTTTATTCCCTAATCCTTCAGTGCCTCATCCCCACTCCTTATTCATCTCCAGCCTTTCCACCTGCCATTTCATTCAACTGCTCTATCTTTCTAAGGATCTATGAAGAGTTCGTATTCTGAGCCTGCACCCAGGCTCTAGCATCCTTTCAGTCCCAGGCGCTCATTCTCGTAACTTTCAACCTTGTCTAAGAAGGGCCCCCAGCAAGTGAGAGGACCCCCAAGACCCACATGACTGGAGAAGAGAAACAACAACCATTAGTTGTTCTTGGATCTCCACGTAGCCATGGTTCTGTGGCCAATCCCACCCAGGAAATAAAGTAAAACAGGAGTCAGTTCTGTGCTTCAGTAGCCCTGGCTTCTAATTCAGTTGCATGTTAAATGGCCTCTCCTTTAGGGGAGTTTAGAAAGGCTCACATACTGCTTAAATGTATCTCGAAGGGAAAAAAAAGGGGGGTGGTGGTGATTACATTTCTCTCCATGGAAGCCCCATGCTGCCCTTTCCGTCCTAGCACCTGTAATAGAGAAGTCGGAATTTGTGTTTGCCTCCCTGCCCTGCACCCAGGAACAGATTCTGCCAGCTGATCTATAGCTCCACAGCATCCATCACAGGGCCTAGTATGCAGTGCAGCCACAGGGTCAAAACATGGTTGTAGAGAGGCTCAAAGCAACGGAAAGGAAGCTCTGCCAGCAATCTCTAGGACTCTTTTAAAAACATTGGCCGGCTCCCGAAGTCCAGAGAACGCCTCTGCCTCACTGACTCTGTGTCCCTCTTCCACAGCCACCCAGCCTTGTCCCTTATGCTGGAGGTGGCATTCAACCAGGTGGATGTGTGGGACACAAAGGCCGGTCTGATAGTAGCTGGGTCTTACTACACCAGTGCGGCTTTCGACGACCAGAGAGCGATTTGGAAGGGGCTAGGAAGTCCCAACAGATGGTGGGAGCATTGTTGGAGGGTCCGGCCCAGAAGCACCTTCTAGACTTTGTCACCTTGATGACATTTGGCCAAAATGGACCAAACAGTGGCTCAAACTCAAATCACTCAATGGGGTGGTCCTACCAATGGAGACACCTGAGCCAGAGGGTCTGGATACAGTAAAGACATGGGCTAGTGGGCAACTGAAAAGAAAAAAAAAAAAGTATTAGCCTATTTTGTGTCTGAGTGGGAGAGAGACAGACAGAGAAGGAGAACTGAGGGCACGTGTCACAGGGCAATTTGCAGGAGTCCAGTTCTCTGGGAGCTGTGGACATCAACTTAAGACAAGTGACTGTGACTGAGAAGCTATCTCGCTGGCTCCCCACTTTAAACATTATGAGTAATAAATTGCAAAAGTACCAATTTAAAAATTCATCGAAAGCTCACTAATATTTTTCTCATGAAGTTGATACCTGTGTACTGCTGGTGACCTAGGTTAACTACTAAGAAATCTAATCCCAGATAACTTGTATATTTTACTAGGCGTCCAGACCGTGTTTACATACAATATCCCACTTAATCCGTAAGACCACTGAGCCAAAGAAAAACTGCATTATCTGCACTTGAAGATAAGCAAGCGGAGGGGTGGGAAGTGAACGAAGGAAGGCTGACGCTACGGAACAAAGAACCGCCCAAGCCCCAGTTGGGGAGATTAAAATGCAGTGATTTCCAGCTTCATAAAGAGAAGGGACCCTGGCAGGAGCAGAGCGAGAGCCTTTCCAGCATCGGTGCCTTTTAGAGCTGCCCCCTCCCACGGGGGATTCTCCATCCATCGCCCCACCCCATCACCATCCCGCACCCCGAAGCAGCACCTCCGCCCTCGCAGCCCTCGCCGCACCCAGAGTTGAGTGAGGTCTACGCTACGCTGCCCACCCTGAACCATGCCCACAACACTAAAGAGGATGTCACTTTTCCAGATACTGACTGGACCCCTCCCAGTTCGGGCACAGAGGGGCGAGGCCTCCACGCCCCCTCCCATCGCCAAGCCCGGGCGCCATGAAGGTGACCTCCCCCCAGGGCCGCACGCGCCGGGTGGTGCTACAACTGGCTCACACGTGGTGAGCCCGGGGAGCGCGGCCCCTCCCCGCCACGCGCCGCCTGCGGGCCTCTCGGCCACGCCCCCGGGAAGGCTCCGCCCTGGGCGGGGCCAGGCGCCCAACCGCCCCGAGTGGACTGGCAGCGCGCGCTGGGCTCGATCCAGGGCGCGCCCGGGGTGCGAGAAACGCACAAGGCGGCACCGCTCCCGGGGAAGGGTGGCCCTGCCCCGCGGTGCGCCGGGGAGCGTGCTGGGACCGCCTGACAGGCTAGGGTGGCAGCGCGCGTCGTGCGGCTGGTCTTTAGAAAGCGGGCATTCTAGGCCCTTGGGGATTTCTTCAGCGTCCCCGAAGATTTTTAAAAACAAAAAGTGAAAACCATTATTGGGCCCCAGAGCATTTGTTAAACCTTCCTGTGGCTGGACCCAGTGTGTAGTAGGGAGGGGCTTCAGGCGCAAGGTGAGTCTGTCCCCTTAAAAGCCTTCTCCAAGTCTCGATCCCTCCACCAGGGCTCCCCTGGCCGGCCGGCCATCGGTGTCCCAGAAAGAGGAAGGAGTCCTACCTGGCGGCAGGTGTCACTGACTAAACGTGCAAACGCAAGGCGGAGAAAGAAAAAGCTTTGAGGGACAGATGGGCAGCGCTCCACGTCCCGCATCCCCCCTTCGCTCGGGCCCCCATCCTAAGAAAAGAAACCGATCTCATCCGTCTCCCCCCACATCCCAGGCGCGAGACCGCTCCGCCCAGGCAGCCAGCGATTGGGAGATGCAAATGCCGAGTTCTCTGCCCAGCAACGGATGACGCGGCACCGAGCGCGAGGCGTGGCCCGGCCGCTGCCCGAACGGGCACCTCGGTGTTTACACGGGGCGGCCCCGCGCGCGCCGCAGCGGCCCGCAGACGGCGGGAGGGAGGGGAGCGCGCGCGCCTCCGGGGCCGCGCGGGGAGAAAGACACTGGAAGGCGGCGGCGGCGCGCAGGGCCGCGGAGGAGCGCCAGGCCGCGACCGGAGCCCGCGGGGGCCCACGAGGCTCGACTTCTCCGCCCCGCAAAACAATGCGCGGCGCGCGGCGGAGCTCTGCTGGCCCGGGGCGGCGGGGACGCGCCGAGCCCGCCTGAGCCCGCGCCGCTGACCCCCCCCCCCCCCCGCACAGACGGCCCGAGCGCCGCGCTCCCAGCTCGCGGGGGCCGGGCCGAGCCGCGGGGCGGGGCCGCCCCTCCGTC